TCTCCCCAGGGCTGCTCTCGATCCACTCATCTGTGGATCCCCAGCCTGTATCTGTGCTTGGGATTGCCCTGACCCAGGTGCAGGACCTTGCACTTGGTGTTGTTGAACTTCATGATGTTTGCACGGGCCCACCTCCCCAGGCTATCAGGGTCCCTCTGGATGGCCTCCCGTCCCTCCAGAGTGTCCACCGCACCACACAGCTTGGTGTCATCGGCAAACTTGCTGAGGGTGCACTCGATCCCGCTGTCTGTGTCACCGACAAAGATGTTAAACAGTACTGGTCCCAGTACCGATCCTTGAGGAACACCACTCATCACTGGTCTCCACTCAGACATCGAGCCCTTGACCATGACTCTTTGGGTATGACCATCCAGCCAATTCCTGATCCACCAAGTGTCAAATTCATATGTCTCCAATTTATAGACAAGGATGTCATGCAGCACAGTGTCAAATGCTTGACCTGCCTTTCAAGACCATCTTACATATGCTATTTATATCAAGACGGTTTATAAAAATGAGAATCTTTACAACATCATTTGAAAATAATTAAAAAAAAATATTAGAGGTAATTTTTTGCCATGTGCTTATATTTTTATATATGAGTGTTTGCTTTACAGTCTCTAGGACTGACTTTCCTGATCACACTCCTGAGGCTGCAACTCACCAACAGAAAACCTTGCCCCAGACCTGTTCATTAGGAGGTGCTTTGAATGCGTTGCTGCATAACCAGGTTTCCTTTTCGATATATCAATAACTGCTAACGACTTACACAATTGCAACAAAAACATAATATCACACACCTGGTTTACTTGCCATTGCTACCAAAGGTAGGAAGTCTTTAGATGTGTAGAATCCTTGATCCATTCTCAGTCCTTGGAAAATACTATCTCTGTTTGGTTCTGGCAAACCTAAAACAGATATTTTCAGGCATATCAGAACTTCAAGGGACATTTCAATGACCAAAATATATTTCACATTACATACATGTTCTCAAAAACATCCTTATTACAAGAACTTTTACAAACTCTCAGATGTTTTAAAAGAACATCACAAATGACTGTAGTTCCATGTTTGTAGTCTTTAGCTTACATAACTGGTGATCTTTTAATAGTACTGGCACTTGAAAATAAGGTTGTTGGATAACATATACTCATATAACTCATATCAAAACAAATGCAGAGGAAAGGGTTACAGAGAACAGGACATAGAGGTTGCAAAAGCAGGGAAGCTACTGGGGAAGTGAAGACTCTTGTCAGCTTTTATTGTATTGCTTTACCTGCACATGCATGTAACTCTTACCGCTGTGAAATGGTTTTGTTCCATTTGCTTTGAGGCATTTTTCAATACAGCTAGCCCGCAGATAATACAAATGAGGTAATAACAAACAGCTTAACTGATGAAGAGAGGAGGACAAATGGCAATGCTGTAGATCTGTCTTATTTGCAAGTATTTGTATGCCATCAATTTTTTTTCCCATTCTTGATTGTTTTCTCACAACCCTGAAGTCCTTATTGTCTGACATTTATTTATAGTTATTAATAGCACTTATTTATACAGAAACCATAGGATACAAACAGGGATACACTTCACAACCAGTAACAGCAACAAATACCTTTCAATTAAAACAAAACAGCAAAAAGTATCTTCCAATTATCAAAGAATATCTTCTTGTTGCTGCATTAACATTTGGACAGCACAAAACCCCAGCCTAGCAGACACAGAAGCTAAAACATTTTTTCATGCAAGTGCAATGATCTATCAGGGCCTTGACTTTCATATTTACATCTAAACCCCCATAATATTATCAAAGTATGCTAATTAGTAATTACATACTGAAATGAAGTAAATGTCAACAGTTTTTCTAAGAAAACACACTAGAACCAAGGACTCCTCGGAGCAAGCAGGCAGAATGGGAGCAGGCAAAGCAATCTGTGCTCCCTGCATTCTCAGGCACGGATGGCAGCAGGCTAATCTTTCTCCACTTTGAGACATACTGGTCTGGAAAACCCCAGTAACACCATGCTAGTGTCATCAATAAAGCAGGATTGCAGTTTGAGGAGTGCTGTTCCAAGTAGGGAAGGCTTAGGGCCTTTTTATATTATTGAAGTAGCAAAAATCTGTCTCATTACAGCATAAGATCAGGACCCAGTCATAAGAAAGGTTAGGAATTTTTCATGAGTCACCTGATATGAGGGAAGTTTCTTAAACCTCTAGATCCCAGAATGAAGTTACTATAATACAAGGGGGGAAAAAAAAGTATATTTTGTTTTAACAGTTTCAGTGAAGAAAATGGAAAAATGCTCTCAGTGAATTCGAAAGGCTTACAAGCTACAAAGGGAAAAAATCCAGAAATTTTTGCATTTCAAAAACCTCATGTTATTGAGAACTTTCTTGATTTCTGTTTATAAAAAAAAAAAAATCATCACTCAGTTGCTGAACACCTGACTTTCAAAACACTGCTGATCTATAGTTGGATATTGAGAAAAATAAGGTTAGAAAATACTAGCATGTACTGAACTTCAGGACCTTTGAATGCTGTACTTCCTGGGTAGGCTGGAATACCAGCTAATTAAGAAGGAATAATGGATATCTTAATAGGCTGCCAGAAACACTTAGTGCTATTGAAAGTACAGTACGTAAAATGCATTAAAGAAGTTTTTAAAACCACATAGGTTTTCCTCTACATATGTATTGCAAAATCATCTATGGCAAGAAGACTATCGGAAAAAGCTCTCAGTGACTGCCCACAGGCAGAGGACAGAGTAATGCAACTATTTCTATTGAGGTATCTGTAAAACAGCTCAGAGGCCTCAGTTTACTCTTGGGAGAAACAGTCTTGTCATTTGAGATGTGCAGCCTGTATTAAAGATAAGTTCCTTTCTATCCCCATTCAAAAGGAAGGAGAAACCTTCACAAATATTGTTTCCACTTATTTTTGCTGCTTTTATCATCTCCTAATGAAAATGATTTCACCTCTAACAGCATCAGTAATTTAGCTCTCATAGGCTGAGAAAGACTAGAATTAAATGAACATTGCAATGTTCATGGTTCAGGTTCATCACTCATTCAGTGTCACTGAAATCAAAGGAGTTGGATTAAGAATGCATTGGATTCAATAATGTTTAGCCTGGCTGATATGACCAAAAAAAAAGCCTAAGTGGTAGTCAATATACATGGCATTTTCTGCTATTTATTTTACTATTTTCAATTTGCTGAAAACTCCATGAAAAACAATTTTGCAATATCTACATTTGAAGGAAATGCAGGGGATTTTTCTCTTATATTTATAAACACCTGTCACAGTTTCAAGACCTTTGCTAAGCATCTGTTAGAAGTTGTACTGGATTCTGGTGTATCTCCTTTTCCTGTTCAGTATTTACTATTATAATGATTGCATTTAATGTTGTTAGAGAGATTAAGTACTTCTTAAAGCCACTAGGCTAGCGAAGAAAGAGGCAGCCAGAGAAAGAGATCAAGAACTTATGAGACCCACTTTAGACAGACAACATTTCATAATAAACTGCCACCCCACAGAAGTATGCTTTACAGACAGATCAAATATTGATAAATAGCCAACAGCATCTCAGGAGAGAGAACATTTGACAAAAAAAAAAAACAACAAAAACAAACAAACAAAAACAACTGTAGAGGAAAAATGTAGTTTTGAGCAAACGTTTTTAGAGAAGAAATAAAATTTAAAAAACCTTAGTCGTCTATGAAAGACACAATTTAGGTCAAAATAATGAACCAAGAGAAATACCCTTTGAAGATAAATCAGAGAGATCTTTTAGCAAAAGGGAATTCACACACTAGTACAAAATAGCCAGGAGCCACCCAAGAAAAAAATGCTTAGAAAAACATGAGGTCTTTCCCCTAGGTTTTAAGCTGAAGCTAACGGTAGTCAGTTCTCTGCTCTCCAAATGCACCTGCAAGCTGTCTAAAAGGCTTTTTACTTATTACTTGGTATTTGTTGTCCTGAAACAATCTTTCACTGCGCTAAGTCTCCTCTCTTTAAATAACCTGTATCAAAATCTAGCAGTAAAAATTATTCTCTTCACCTGCACTGAAGACCAACCAAGAGGAGGCAGCCTAGAAAGATAATTCCACTGGTGGTGTTCAGAGGGGCTCCGCGCACCCATACACAAGTAGAGGGCTATGCCTGGCCCCCCACCTTCTGCAGCTAAAGCCCTGGACTTCCTGAAGCCCCAGTCTCCTTTCCTGCTGAGCCAGGGAACAAGCTTCTGAAGCAACTGATATCCAGACCACACAATGAAGTCTCACGGGCTGTGGTAAACAGCATTTACTAAGAATACAGGAAGCAGAAACATCATGAAAATAACAGCTTGCATGACAGATCTGGTTCAGCTTTGCAAAAGCTAATCTAGACAGTCCCAATCTGGGTCAGCTACAGTGTAGAAAGCAATTTACAGAATCACAGAACGGTAGGGGTTGGAAGGGACCTCTGGAGATCACCTAGTCCAACCCCCCGCTAAAGCAGGTTCACCCAGAGCAGGTCGCACAGGACCGTGTCCAGGCGGGTTTTGACCATCCCCAGGGAAGGAGACTCCACAGCCTCCCTGGGCAGCCTGTTCCAGTGCTCAATCCATCTCTGTTCCCGACCCTCTGGTTTGCTAGGCCCTGCCTTTCATCTCCAGATGCTCCAGCTACGCCTCAGTAAGCATCACTCTCTTAGTACGAAGCCCTCCTTCCTTCTTTTTCTTCATCTGATGCGCACAACCCCTTCTCCGGTGGGCTATACCTCAGCATCAGTTTCTCTCCTGCATCTGACGTATCATATACTTTCCAAAGTCGTTAGCCACTATAACAGTGGCTTTGGAAAACACACACTTTAACCTCCCATTTTTATATCCTTTATATATACATTAAACATATACATGCATGTATATATTAGAAAAAACAACATCTGCTTCCTACTGAGATCTTGTACTCTTTGTTCTCACAATACTGATGCATGTTAATTTTCTTAACTGGTGGTGCTAAGTCCATTGCCTGCATTTAAAGAGACAGAATTTAAATCCTCTCACAATTCCCTAGTCCAGATGAAATATTAATCACCAAACAATTAGAGTCAATTTGTCAGATACACAAGGCAATATTCAACAGTGATGCATACACAGCGATTGGCATGGAGAGAAATGCACCTAGTCCACTTGGTTGCTGCACCAAATAAATCAAGGCATGTCAACACGTCAATCAGCTAAGTCTGAAAAGGAAATAAATACTGCTGCTATTACTGTAACTATTAGCCTGGGCTGGAAAGGAAAACTACAGCAGGAGTAGAGGCACAGTGTATCTCTCTCTCCTGTTTTGATCAAATCCCCTCTCCCCAGAAACAGGA